TATTTTTAAACAAATCGTTAGAATGCAAAGAAATCATCTTTTTCTTACCATTTTTAACTTCTGTTTTGATTCCTTCAGTCTCAAATGATAATTTTTTGTTATTTAAAGTAAGTTCTGCATAAGTGCAACTACTACTTAAGGAATTAAGTGCCGTGATTCTACTCGTGTTGCATTACGCTATCCCAGTAATGCTAGCTATGATTTTATTCATGCAAATTATATTCAGATTGGATCACTGTTTAATAAATTTATCCTTACACAGGTATAATTATGATTAAATGGAATTTATCATTCATTTGCAATCTTTAATAGGGTCAAGTATTCAACTTCTGACAAGAACTTCTGTGAATGTATTTATCGTTCTACACTTTTGTACAGATCATTTCTGACTTAAATACTTATCATGTTTGGTTTTAAATAAATTTAGGCCCCAATGGAACATACCATTGGCGATTTTTGGCGAATGGTTTGGCAAGAAAAGTCAGCGTATATTTTTATGTTAATAAGCCGAAAAGATATTTCCAGATGTGCTCGATACTGGCCAAGGCTAGAAATTTCTTGTAAATTAGTGATACATTGAATATTTTCTGCTGGTTAATGCAAAAAATAATCGAAATTTCCAGAAAAGTTGGAGATCAGATGGAATATTATGGTTTAACAATCAGTAACAAAGGAATTGATGAATTTCGTTTACCACTGTTTCGAGTCACGTATTTGACGGTTGCTGGACCTGACGAAAAAGAAGTTAGTTTGCGTTTGATTTCTCATAATGCAATTTTTGTATATACTGACGTAGAAGAATATTCTAAATTTGAATCAAATAAATTTTTAAGAGTAGATAGATTTACATTCTTCAGAAAAAGACATGTATATTCACTATATGCAAATGATCTTTAAACTTAACTGCATTACTTTGTTCTATATTTTATATGTGCTTACTTATAACTACAGTTGTTTATTATAACATATTTTCAAATATTTATATTTCATATTCGAACTTTGTTAATTTATATGCTTAGCAATCGACAGTTCTCAGAAAAAAATAACCCGAAAAAAAAAATTTCTAGTGAAAGATATTTAACATTTTGTGTAAATTTCATTTCATGCAAATCTGTTAATACTTGATATCATTAACTTTGTTCAAGCACAATAGTTTTGTAGCTACACGTGGAGCATTGGCAAGGTGACATGAATAATTCTGACAATGTTGCATTACCTTTACAACTTTTACGTTTAGCGCGGAATTGCTCATATCCAACAATCATTCACTGTCACTTGGGAATTAGTCGATCCGCCACTTTAGTTGCTGCTGAAATTTGCATAACTTGTCTACTTAAAGGCCCATCATATAAAGTTACTTATTTGTTATCTAGCATATTACAATATGAATAATATTGTGCAAATGCATTTTGCAAAAGTGATTGTATACGATTTGCCAAAACTTTTCAATACATTATAAAAAAGGAACCAAAAGAAGGATAAAATAAAACAAAGTTTTGGTTATAAATAATTTGGGAAGCAACAAATTGATGGCTAAAAAGTATCTATTTATCCTAAATTGAAATTACTCAAATAATTTTATAGAAATTGAAATTACAATAGAAATTAAATCTTTTAAATAAGTTGTACTGAAGCATTGTGTACAAAAAGCGGTACAACTATTACGATCTCAACGACCATTTTGCATTGAAACACCCATGCAATACATCTTTGTACATCGTGTTGTGCAAAAATTTTTGCAAGAATATGTTGGCGATCCGAATGGATTTTATGCAGAATACAAAAGTTGGGTAGAATCTCGAGCTTTGAGACCATTTATTGATGATGTCGAGGAAACGGTTGATAGTTTTATTTGCAAGGAGAAATGATCATTTTGATAAATTATACTAAAAACTAAATTATTTTTGCATGCTAGAGAAATTATTACAAATAGAGAGTTTAGTTTTGATCAAAATTATGTTGCAGACAATAATTATTTTTGACAATTTCATAAAGAACGCAATTCAGTTTTAATAGAAGAAAATCTTGAAACTATTTATTAGAACGATTTCATATAATGATTCAGTTAATTACTTTGATTTAAAAAATATGACAAAAAAATCTGTGAAATTCAAGCATTTACAAGTGAAAAGTATGTTTTTAAAAGTTTACTTATACATTTCCAGTTATGATTAAGAGTATATATTTCTCAATTATAGATTCCTGGTTACCGATTGCTATCACCTCGAATTGATCCTGATCTAATTGCTTTAGTACGACATCGTGAACGACCAGATTATCGTCGAGAAACTCATGACTGTGTTGGAAAGATGCCTATACCACTAAAAATCACTCCAGAAAAACAGTTTGAAGAATTTCCAATTACAAAATGTTATCCACGTGGTGATCGGTATGACTGATCACCTGCTATTTAACTTTTTTGTACAAATAACATTTTAATTCGAAATGTCAGATCAAAATCGATAATTTATAACTGTAATTCTTTTTACATTATTCACAAAAGATAATAAATGTAAGAAATAAATATTTAAAGTAAAATTACGAATTTGGCAATTCAATATCTTTTTTTTAAAGTCTATGTTGAAAAATATATGTAATATTAAAAAACGTAGCAAAAGCAATTTCAAATTGCTTTTAAGCAATGCATTACTAAAAATGTCGCAAATTTTTTATTCCAAATTTTCGAAATCTATTTTGTTAGCATAAAAAGGAGCGAAAATTTACGAAGAAATTTTTTGTTAGCAAATTTTAAATTTTAATATCTATGCTTTGTTGGATTCATGATATTAAAAGTGGCTTTTAGTTAATTAGTATTTATTTAAGTGAAACACTAATTTATTTATATGGTCATTTCATCGAAATGTATTGGCACGCCTTATTATTCACGCCTTTAGTTGTAAATATACCAATTTTTAAAATTATTGCTTTGAAACTTTTGTAAATTCATGTAAAAATTATTGCTTGAAATAATTTGTATACTTTAAAAAGTTTCATTCATAGTTCCACTTTCAGTTTGTTAGATATATTGCTAGTTCTGATTTTTTTTTCTCTTCAGTCTATCAGTTCATATAAATAAATTGTTAACCTTATTAAACACAAAAAAATCATCTCACTATTTCAATTTCTGATAAATAACACTCACAACATATCAAGAAAACGAGAATGGGTTTAGAAAAATTTATGGCTTAGAACCATTTACAAATTATTTTGTAATCGTTTCCGAAATTTAGACAGGTAAGAAAGAATTTTTGTTCTAGATGGGAGAAATCTCATACTAGGCAATATTAACAATAATGCTTGCTTGAAAACTAAATTGAAAAAAGGAGGGTAAATTGAGTGAAGTAAGTCCATGCTTCGCCTGAGACGAAATGTGATTTTTGATTGTTGTCTCCCAATTACAAATTATTCCATTTGTCACCTTCTTCGGAATTTTTTGGTTGCTGATTCAAATAAATGGTGGTATTAGTGATGGATAATCAGTATAAAGAGGAGATTAATGAGTAATAGCGAAAGACGTCGAAAAAATGGTGGTATTAGTGATGGATAATTATTATATGGGGAAATTGGTACTTTTCAGCTAATAAGCAGAAGTGATGCGTAATTAGTATTGTATAAGTATTATTGTGCTATCTAAAATATAAAATTGATGTAGATGGATTGATAAAAATGATAATTAGTAAAATTGTTAGTCATTTATATTTAAATGTAAGATCATGAAACCTCAACTGTGGTCCCTTAAGAATGAAAATCATTGCAGTTTAATCCGTGGAGTAAGAATTGCACATCGTAAGTTGTTCACCAGAATGAGGTCTCACCTGAGATCAAAAAATAGGGTATTTTTAGTAATGCTTCATGGAGGATTCTAGAAATATCTACATATGTGAAAAAGGATGTTATTTTATGTACTTTCAATATGCAACTACTGTGCACAGAATTGATTATATTTTGCATGATTCTTGACAGCAAACGTAAGTCAATATGAGTAATGATGGGAAATGAAGTATGCAAACGTCCCAGAAGAGATTGAATGTGGAAGGAGAGGGTATGAAATACGTAACAAAAGTACATCTCCCCGTTTCGCGCATCAGTTACTAATATGTATTGAAGGGCAAAAAAAATTTTTGAAACTTTCTCTATGTCTGCGCAGTTTACAGAGTATATATAAAGAATTGAGTTGCATATACCAACATTTAATACACTTATTTTTGTTTTTGAATGGTACATTCAAGTTCATTGCAGCTATATGTTAGATTTAGGTTTTGGGTTTTGTTCATTCGGAGAAAGAAACAACAAGAACCCGACCCGAAAGCTTTACAGGATGCACGTCTCGCAAAAAATGCCCTTAATGAGTTCATTCACAGTAGCAGTGCCAATGTTGAAACCTTCGAAGTGAGAATCACATTTTTTTGCACTGTGATAGACAGATGATTTCAGCTATTTCGTATCTTATTTTGTCATTCCATCTTCGCAATACTTTTTTCAATTATCAAATTCTGATTTACGAGAATTCCTGACGGGCTTTCTATCAACTGCTCTAGTATGACTGGTGCTGATCGAAGATTCGCTGAAGATTGTCCTTTTCTCAGCAGTATACTTGCTTGGAGTGCAGATTCACCTGCTTGTAACTGTTATTACCAAGAATATATAAAAGGTCTGTTTCCTTGAAAAAAATTCAAATTTTTCAAAAATTTGATCTACTTAATGAAATAGATATGAGCTGACTGGATTCATACGGCTTCAGCATAGTTAGAAAAAATTAGCGAAATAAACTGAAATCAGAAGAGGACTTCTTTCAAGAATGCTTCCAAGTACGAAATTTCAAAGATAAATGGAAAGTACATAAGACTATACACCTATTTCAGGATTGTTAATTAATGTAGTTTTGCAGAAATCGCATGAAAATATTTTTTTTTAAACATTTTGAAAATATGAATAGCAAGTGAACTCGAAAAGCTCTTTCTTGCTATAATCATTATGAGGTCAATCTTCGATTATATTCTAGTTTGAAGTGGTAACTCAAGTAAATAGCTCCATTTGAAGTATACTGCGGTGTTTTATGTAACTATAAGTACTTAGACAAAATTCATGCTATAACTACGATATGTAAGGATTATATTTCATAGATATTGAAAAGTTTGAAATCCCAAAGCATTACGGTCAAGATTATCTAGTACGAAATACGATTATTCCGAACCATGAATAATTTCTCATAATTTTAAAAACATTTTTTTCATCGGTGCACGTAATGTATACATTCGTTGCTTTCTTTTGACGTACAATAGCTAGCCCTTGAACGTTTACCAAATCGCCATGCGAGAAGATTTGAGCGACGTCTGCCAAGTGTGGGTATTTGTAAGTGTGGAGGTGTGTTGTTGCGGAGATATATAAGTGTGGAGGATGCAAAGATGAGAGGATATGCGA